ATCACTAAATGAACTAAATAATAGCTCTTACACTAAACAGTCTTTTATACCCAACCGTAGGGATAATGCAAATGCTATCTCTACTAATTTGTTGCATTGTTTTTAAAGGATTTATATTAACCATTCTTACATTTACTTTTTTAAAACTTTTCTTTGCTTGTTTTTTTAATGCGGTGTTTTGATATGCATAGGAAGGTTGTATTTATAACCAAGTTTTAACTACAATGAGGTTCCAACTGTAATTTTTATTGTTTATCTATAATTGGCTGGTAATTTCCAGCCTGATATGGCCAGGTGGTTAGGGAGCTTTACCCACAATCTGATGGTCGCGGGTTCAAATCCCTGTCCCACCAAACATGCTCGCCTTTTCAGCCGTGGGGGCGTTATAATGTGACGGTCAATCCCACTATTCGTAGCCCAAGAGTTGACAGTGGGTGGCGATGACTAGCTGCCTTCCCTCTAGTATTTCACTGCTAAATAAAGGACGACTAGCGGAGATAACCCTCGTGTAGCTTTGCGCGAAATTCAAAACAAACGGATAACTCTTGTTTCACCCTGTATTTAAGCTTTTTAAAGGAATACCATATTTCTGTAAGAAAGCAAACTTCTAGGGGTAATGATAACCTCGTTTACATTAGAATTATGATTTCTTTAAATTACTATTGGTTAGTAATAATACTTATAAAATTGGATATTCTATTTGAAACTATGTCACATCAGTGAAATTGGTAGACACCATTGTTTTGGTTTTTGAGTTATCATGTAATAAGAAGCAGAAGAAAGAAGAACAAGAAATTCAAACTTTTTTGCTGTGATAGTTGCAGACATTCCAAGAACTTGTTACTCAGTCGTTAGATAGATATTGTTATAAAAGGAAACAATGCATAGTATTGTAAAGTTCTGATGACCAATTGAGGAAATATTTAAAATATAATTGCAATGAACAATCCGAGCCATCCCTACATAGGCAGTGCCACAACCTGCCTGATTATTCTATAACTGATGGCTTATAGAATTTTGTTTTAACTTTGATTAACCTGTTCAAAAGTCTGATGCAATTATCTTTATTTCTTATATCCTTCAAGGTCCACAACAATTAAAACAAATCATAATCAAATGTTAAAATTAGAAACGTAAAATCTCCGCCTATCAAAAGGTGACAAAAATTCAGGCACAACAATCTAATGCTTCTTTCCTGTTTATAGTCAATTCATTTTTAAGTGCATAGCAGCACAGTGGACTATCTAAGCTGTGTCCTTCGTTAACAGCTGAGCGACCCGGAGAGGATCGTCTGTAATCAGGATTGATCAACTGAATGATAATTGGAATTTTGAAAATTATATTAAAAAATCTAAAGAGCTCTCCACTAACAGGAATTGGGAGAAGGGCGGAGGCTTAACACCCTAATGCTGCGGCTATATTCACAATAGTGTACTTTATTTTATATATCAGCCGACTTACGATTTTCCGTTGTAGCTTTATTGATTGCTGATGTGAAGAGGAGACTTTTCAAACGCATCTGCACCGAACAGAGGCAGGAAAACATTAAAATCAAGGTTTTCATAGATATCCCACTTTTAGAGTAGGCCAACATCTTCATTGCAATCCACAAGTTATTAGGTTACATACTTCAGTTACTAGTCTACATTAAATTCAAACTGTTTCAAGCCAGTTTGTACACATTTCTGTATTACATTTTTGAACAGGCTAACTTTCTAGATCTCCATGTAGAAACGAGTACACGCTAGCGTGAAACATACATTCCAGTATGTAGCATTTATTTGTATGAGAGGATTAGCACATGTTTACAATCTTTCGACATCTTGTTAACACGATTGTAATTACCTCCATGCAGTTACCACACTCCCTTTCCTTACCTAAGGTTTTTCCCAGGCCCATACATTAAAATTTTAATATTAACGGCCAAATTAGTAAGTTAATTACAGGTCATAAAATTGTATAATTATTTACCTCAGATGACACGCAAGACACCTAATAAAGGAAATGAAGGGGAATACATAAAATCCAACTACAACTTAGAAACACTAGAATAAAATACAACTCAACGTGGTGAAAGCAAAATAAAGTTCACGAAAATCACAATCTATAAATAAAAATTGCATCTAAAATATATTAAAACACAATAAATTGAAATCAAAATTACAATATAGTCTTCAAAATAAATGCAACTAAAAAAAATTAAATAAATTCAGAAATACAAACAAATAATAATTTAAAATTGTTTTTGTTGTTTGTTATTAAGCACAAAGGGCTATCTGTGCTCTGCCCACCACGGGTATCGAAACTCGGTTTCTAGCAGTATAAGTCTGCAGACATAACACTGTATCAGTGTGGGGGGGCATATAATTTAAAAGAAACAAAATACAACTGAAATACCTACGATGACTCAGCGGTAAGTCTGAAGATTTATAACGCTAAGAATAAGGTTTCGATACTGTGGAAGTCAGAGAACAGAAAATCCACTGTGTAGCTTTATGCTAAACAACTCAAATTAAAATTGCAATACATTACACACAATCGTATTACAAATATAAAATCTGAATTAAACAATATCAGAATTTTAAAATAAAATTTAAATCAAAATTACGATACAGAAGTAGAATTAAAACAAAATTAAAATCAAGCCAATAAATGTACACTGAGTGGTCACAAGTAAATAGACACCTAATTTTTCGTCATTTAACTGATTTATGCTAACTAATTTGTGTTCACAGAGCACTATCTAAATGAATATGGTCCGCACACTAATTATCTTGTGCTACAACATACCTAGAACTCAAGGTTCTCTCGAATTGTCAGATTTTGTTAGAGGAAGAATAGTTGGTCAAGCAGATGGTGGAATAAGTCAGCGGCAAATTTGCAGAATTTGGGAATCCCGCTTTCGACAGTCAACAGAATAATCGTGCAGTTCAGG